GAGAGAGAGAGAAGCGAGGACGTTGCTTCCTTTTAACGCGGCCTCCCTGCGTCGCGCGTCCTCGTCGGCGCGTATCGTGCACGTGCGTGTGCGTGCGTCGCGCGCTGCCTCCTCGCGCCAGATGGCCGCGAACGAGCGACTGCGTACGGCGAACACAGCCCTCTCCTCTCCACGGCTATTTATAGTAGGGGCCGATAAAAACGCCAGAACACCGCCCGCTAAAAAATCGTGCCGAGCTAGCGCGCGCGCAAAGGCCGCGATGGCCGGGGAGACACTTTTTGCCCGGCATCCGTTTATTCTTATATGGCAGCGAAGATGACAGTCGCCGGCACGGGGCGCTCTCTCTCTCTCTCTCGTCTTGAGAAACACACCGCGCGTATTTATATTCGACGCCGGGGCAGGTCGACGGTTGCGTCGGATACCTTTGATTCCTTGACCCGACGGTTTGTTCTTTAAGAAGAAAGAAACAGGCGAGAGGCATCTGTTCCAAGGGCCGCGACAACAATCTCCAGACGCTCTCGGCGGCCTCCACTTCCGCCGGGCATTGAGTCGCAGTCGCGGATACGTCGACTCTTTTCAATCGCGCGGTCCTTTTCGAAAGAAATCTCGGTCTTCGGCGGCTGCGTCGTGAATGGAGAGCCAGTGAATGAGTTACGCGTCGCGTGTCTAATCGCAACGCCGATTTGCGCGAAGACTTGGACCGGGGCTCGATCGCGAATCCATCTCTCTGGCGCGAACCCGTGGAAAGCGAAACGTTTCATTAACGAATTTCGTCAACGTTGGTGAATGAAAATGTTGACTTTCCACGAGTTTACGCCCGAGTCTCTGATCGAGACGCACACTCCGTCGCGAAATTTACGCTCGCGTAGATCGGAACGAGAGGGCATCGTGAAATCTGCGGAGCGTGGCGAGAGGAACACGAGGGCGAGAATCGTGGATCCGGGGGCGAAGTCGACGCCGCCACCCCCGATCGATGGATGGGTGCGGGCGCGGGCGCGACCCAAAAACCCGTGGGGAAAACTCACCGTTGGCCTTGAAGGTGGTCGCCGTCTCGAAGCTGGGCGCCCGTACCGGGTGCTTCTCCTTGTTGCGGTCCTGCACGTAGCTGACGGCGAGGCTGACCGCCGGCAGCGAGTCGCCGCGGGTGAGCGGCGGCCTGACCGGGTGCTGCTCCTCGAGCGAGAGCCGCTTCTCGGCGTGCTCGTCCTCGTCGATCGCCGAGATGCCGCGCTTGAGCTGGGTGATGCTGCGGTTGTGCAGGGTCATCTGGTGCGCGGCGACCGCGGCCAGGTGGGCGTTGGACAGGCGCGGCGGGTTGCTGCGGATACTGTTCGCGATCTCGTGACTCTCGTCGCCGTGCTGGCGGCTGACCTGCTGCTGCCGGGCGGCGGCCGCGGCCGCCGCCGTCCCCGGCGTGAACTCGGTGATGGAGCTACGGTGGTGCAGCTGCGAGTAGCTGGGCATGTTGTGGTGGCGCGTGTGCCCGGCCTGCGGTGTGTTCTGGATCGGCAGCACGTCGAGGTTCGTGCCGCCGTTGTGCTCGGTGTGCCCGGCGCTGGTGCGGTAGGTCTTGCTCGCGGACGGCCGCGCGTCCTGGAAGCCGTGCGCCTTCTTTAGCTGCTTCGCCGACTCGAGGACGAGGTCGATGCGGTCGGCGCCCTCGTAGTTTACGCAGCCGCGGCAAACCGGCTCCGAGAAGTCCATGATCATCGCCCACGGCATCCTGGGCAGGTCGCACAGGTAGCACTGCGTCCGTTTGCCCATCATCTTGCCGGCGAGGAACGTCGTGTCGGCGCCGAGGGACTCCTGCTGTTTAATAACGACGCCGCCGGTGGCGCGGGCGGGGGCGGGGGGGAGGAGGAGGACGGGGGGTGGGGGCGGGGTGCTCCAATCGTCCACTGTGTCGGCGCTCGCTGACTTGTCACTTCACCATCCACTGTTTGTCTCGCGCACTGTTTATCTCCCTCTTATCTCGTCGCCCGGTTTAATCGTCTGCTTTGTCTACTACTTCCCTCTCTCTCTCTCTCTCCCTCTCGCTCTCTCTCTTTCACTCCGCTCCGCGAAACGAGAATTGATTCCGAGCCTCCACCGCACCACTCGTCCGAGAAACAACCGCCGCTCGAAATAACGAGGATAACGTCAACCACCTCCCGTTTCGCGCGCGCTCCGTCGCCGCGGCTCGCGGGCACATGAGCCGCGAGAGGACGCGTAGCGACGCCCCGACGACGACGACTGCTCGCGAGCTCCGCCGCGCGACGCACAACCCCGGGCCGGAGCGAACGACCGGAGCGTACCGGAGATCACCAAGGGGCGCGCGTTCTCCGCGATGGCGCCGAGAAAACGACGGCGGGAATTCAAGCGGCGTCACTCTCTCTCTCTCTCTCTCTTTCGCGCGCGCGCGCGCGCCCTCGTCTCCGGGCTCGAGAGATGCGCTCCTCCGCGTGTGCACGCGAGAATCCTCCGCTACTCTATATATCGCACTGCCCTGCACGCACCGGGAAAGGAAGCGCGAGCACACGCGATCACGACAACCGCCGTCGCGTAATATTATATTCTCCTCCCACTCTCTCTCTCTCTCTCTCTATCTCTTTCTCTCACGGCAAGAAAAACACGAGGCGAACGCGCGAAAATTGACGCGGATACCGCGACGCGACCGAGTACATACGTGCGATCGCCCGTCCGGCTGCCGTACGAAGAGACGAACGCTCGAGAATGCGGCGGCAAAGCCGAGAGCTAGGCCGTCGCGTTCCCCCCTCCCGACCTAGCCCCGTCTCGCTCCAACTCGCGTCCGCCTCTCGCTCGCTCCTTCGCGCGCGCAGCGCTCGCATTTGTTCGGCCACGCTCGGCGCCGCTCGCCCGACCCCGCTCCCCCCCGCTCGACGGATCGCCGTACGCTCTCTTTCTCTCTCTCTCTCCTTTTCCCTCTCGCGCGCGCGCGCCCCCCTCCCGGCCCCGCTCGCCAAGAGCCATTGCCAATCCACCCTCCCCGTCCCGCAACGCCGTCGTCCCTAAAAAACAGCTACGACGACACGGCGGACGACGACGACGGCGGCGGCGGCGGCGGCAGCAGCGGCGACGACGACGACGACGACGCGCTCCGCCAATCGGACGTTGTGGCGTCATGGTGCATGACGTCATAATCGCTAGGCTGCGCAGGCGCGCCGCGCAGTGCCCTAGGGGGACACGTAGGCAGGCGACCGGGATCCGCCGGAGCGCGAGAGCTACGCGCGGGGTCGGGGGGGGACGCTGGGAGGCTGCATGCTGTGTGCACGCGCGCGCTCCTTATCTCCCTCCCTCTCTCTCTCTTTCTCGCTCTCGCTCTCGCTCGCGCATCACAACCCGGCGCCCACTCTTCGCAATGAACAGCCGGTTTCACACAGCCGCGAGAAGCGCGAGAGTCGAACGGCGTCTCCCGCTCGCCGTATTAGCGATTATTCTTATCAAGGTATCTCGGCCGCCGAGAATGAAGGATTGCTATCAGCGCTGACGTGACGCTGCACGCGCGCAGAGATCCTGCGATTACCTATTTATAATAAAACACGTCGAGTCACGTTTTTTTTTTCAATAATTTAAGCGACCGGCGAATATCGCTAGCGCGATACGAGACGTGCCGGCTGTTCTGCGCGGATCGATAGACGCGCGATGTCGATTTTCAAGATACCGAGGATATACGTCTCGAGTGTCTGTGTGTCTCCGTCGAGGCTTTGTGCGACAATGACTCGATCGTCGTCGCGTCTCTTCAGAGATTCGCACGCGTTGCAATTATGCTGTCAACTCGGTCGTTTTCCTTTTCTTTTTATACTCTGCACGTGTGTCCGAGGACCCGAGTGAACGTAGAAAACGTTCGGATTTTCGATGTGAAGCATCGATTGTTCTTTCGTCGATCGACGAAAGGGGATGCTTGAGTGTTTCTGCACTTTTGGCACCTTTTGCTTCTAGAACTGCCAATTCGTGAATACATTTGTGTAATATACAAATTATGTGGCTTTTGCGTACGAACCGACAGTGTTCCACTATTCGGACTAAATCAGAGAACAGTATGGTATCACTGAAATTGAGTTTAGAAGCCTAACGAAAAATCTAGGTTACCTAACCTATAACTTATTCGAGTGAATAGACTTCTTGTTGAGCTCCTAAACTTAATTTCAATGATACCACGCTGTTCTTTCACTTTATCTGAATAGCGGAACACTGTCGGTCTGTGCACGAAAGCTCCATCATTTGTATATTACACAAATGTTTTCACGAAGTGACAGTGCCAGGAGCAAAAGGTGCCAAGAGTGCAGAATCACTCCAGCATCCCCTTAAACGTAGAAAACGTTTGGATTCTCGATGTGAAACGTCGATTGTTCTTACGTCGATCGACCAGCGCGACGAAGAAAGGGTTAAGTTCCATGAGCCAATCGTGACTTTGAATTCAGCTCGCGGGATACACGTTAGAGAAAAGAACTCGTGTCACGTGGAAAGACCCGGCGGGAGAACTTGCGCTTCTTGCCTCTAATCTCCGTGGCACAAACAATGATCATCACTATCGCCCGCAGCCGCTGAGTCGGCACGAATGGCGCGTTATTTTATCGCTCTTTCTCAGCGATAACGCGGCCGGTGATAACCGGTCGATAGTAATGCCGAGGTGTGTAGGTGCATTATCGCCGGTGTTATCGAGACGAGGCGACACACGCGCGCTGCGCGCGTCATCCTTTCGCGATTCGGTAGCGAGTTGAATTGCTGCGGGTATAAATTTTTGACGGCCAAGAGAAACCGCATGTCGGCCGCGTCTCCAACGGCGCGACATTAATTATAGCGTGTCGAGCGTCAATAATTGAATTTACATCGATAATCGATAATCGATCTATGTTAAACGAGACAATGAAACGGAGGGGTGACACGACGGGGATCGAAGAAGCTCGGGGGGGGGGGGAGCGTCGTCACTTTCCTTCGAATGTTTTCGTCGTCGGGCCGGGATATCTGGCTGGGAGAAGCCGATAACGATTTATATAACCGGCCGCGGCGATTTCGTAATCGCCGCAGCCGCCGCGGCTGAAAAGAACGCGGCGAAAAATCGCGCTGAAGTAAGCCCCGAATGAATGATGCGAGTTATGTTTATATCTCGGCTGTTTACATAACACCCGGCGATAACGCGCGCGGTAGTTTGCATCATATCTCGAATTATTACACGCTCATTAATGACGCTCGCGCGAGCGAGACCCCGCGAGCGTTCGCTAACGAGACGACGATTGAGGCGGTGGAGACCGTCGATCGTGTTGATCTGCCGGTATAGCGTGAGGCGAGAGGGAAAGAAAAAAAGAGGCGAGAAGAAGAAAGAAACGAGCATAGTCTTAACTGACGTCACGGGCAATTTCGTGAACATTGACTGTCGCGGCTGCTGCGTGCAGCCTGCGCTCTCTCTCCTCCCTCCCTCCCTCTCTCTCTCTCTCTCTCTCTCTCCCTCTCTCTTTCTCTCCTTCGTGCCAAAGTCGAGCCGAATGACATCAATCTGACATCATAGCGTACAGCACGAGATCGTAACGTGAACCCTCCTCTCGGAAGAGCGAGGGGGCGAGCTCCTAACCTCGACCATGGGCGGGGGCAAAGAGAGGGTATAATTAGACGAGTCGGCTTATCAGTGCCCATTCGTCGCCATCTCCGCCCCGGGATCCGGGTAAACAAACGCTTCTTGCCCTCTCCGCCTGGATGTATGTACGTACATACGCGCGCGCACACGCGTAATCTCCCTCTCGAGGAGAGCTCGCGGGTTTCAGATCGAGGAAATCGGCGATCGAGGAAAACCGCCGAGCGCCCGCCGAGATGTAGCGGCCAACTGATAACTGATAACGCACGCGTTACGTAACGCAGATAGGAGATAACGCTCGTAAATTGCGAGCGAGCTGGCGCGCGGATAACAAGGTTCTGTCGCTCGCGGAGAAAAAAAAGCGGGCAATACTCGCGCCCGCGCGATAATAAGCGAACGCGGATCCGTCCGGGGCCGGTTATCGATAGCGTTAAATCCGCGTCGATATCGCGCGACGCCCGTGCACTCGATCTCATCTTCCCGCCGCGCGGGGGGGAGGGGGGGGCAGGGGGCGACCGACGGCGAGGCTGCCGAAGGCCGAATCGAGGGCTCCCGCAGTCGCGGGGTAACCGCAAACGCGCGGCAGATCGAACGGACACGCCGGGGCGATTGGTAAATTTGGCCTGACCTCTGGATAACTCGGCCACGTGCCGCCTGTATATTACGGCGCGGGGCGTAATGCGCCAAACATTATTTATCGGGACCCGAGAATACATACCGCGCCGACGGAGATAACGGAGAGACAGCTCGCCGATTGACCGGGGCGGCCCACCGCCCCGCCGCGAATCAGCATCCGCGTAATAATAAAACATTCGCGGCGCAACACCGCGACCCAGTGAACATTATCGTGCGTCTTCCACGTAAACCGGACAAGAGAGAGAGAGAGAGAGAGAGAGAGAGAGAGAGAGAGAGAGAGAGAGAGAGAGAGAGCCCTCGCACTCGGATTCCAAGAAATTCGACGTTGACCGGATACGAAGACGTAAAGTCCCTTATTATGAGATATGCTCCTAATATGAGATAGCTAGGCATTTCTGCCAAAGCCAACTGTACATATACAGTTGGAAAATTGTGTTTGTTTGTTAAAAAAATGCCGGTTAAAATTTTTGTGTTAAATGTTTAACACAAAAATGTCTCATATTAGAAGCCTGTCTCATGATGAGGGACTTTCCTCTACATACATTTCCATCTCGTTCCCCCG